ATTTCAGTAATTATTCTGCCGTTTTCGATCAGAATCCAGCGGAGTACGACTATGAAGCACGACACTCGTCAGGGAATGCAGCCGCGACCAATTGTTCAGGAAACACCTTCCTTCTGCTTCTCAATGGGGTGGCTTGTGGATAGATAGAACGGCGGTTGTAGTGCTATATTTGTATATTCTTCATTATTTTCAATTTTAGAAAAATTAGCATTGGAGTTATTTGTAGTTACTGCGGTAAACTTAGAATTGTCGTGTTATCATATCACATACTGGGGCCTACTTTGGGCCACATGTTTTCTCGTGTCTGTAAGTGCCTTTGTCAGCAAGAAAGCACTCAGATCATTAGGCCGCAATCTTCACGAAACTCTATTCCTATTTGCTTCGCTAGTAGACCCCGTTGAGAGGGGTCAAGCAGAAAGTAGATTAAAATAATCCAGTTAATAATCTACCAGTTGTTTAACCCTTTCAGATTATTCTTGTCAGATAAGATAACTTATGTAGATGTGGAGGAAACAGATAGCAGTAGAAGACCCGGATGCATAAAGAACTGCTAAGACAATCTTCAAACTTCCTCAAATGTTGGCTTCAAATGCAAGCCAGCAGCAGAACAGCAAACAACAAATGCAGCCAATGAATACATTCGAAGTTCAAGTTGACCACAATATTGCCGATGTTATGCGATGATCAGTCGATGCTACTCTAGTGCACCAGGAGAAAAATGACGTGGGGCATGATTATCTAGATGTCATTACTTCGTGGACAAACTCACACATAACAAAGAAAGTGCTTAACATTTTGTGTAAGGCGGGTTCCGTGGAATCGCGGTATCATGATTATGATTATATTATGTTGGCTGATCGTAATAGCAAATTTTCTCGTTCACTGATTTTGGAAGAACATCTTAGTGGTGATGAACATTAAAGGAATGCCGATGTGTTCACCCTCAACGGGAATTGTATACAGCTTTGTCTGCGTTCCCTTTGATTATATACATGGATGAAATACCCAGTTTAATGATGGCAAATTTTCAGATGAAAAACATGCCGATTACAAAACACCAGAACAGTTCTGGACATCAGTCATTTGTGAGTAATTGGATTTGTAAACTAAGAAAATTTAGATTAATCGATTCCACAGTGGAAATTGAATTCAAAATGGAAAAAGGAAACTGAATTAAAGTAATGTAAAGCGTTATTTGAACCGTAGACTATCTCTCATCTCGTGGGTAAGCACTTCTTAGTGATACAGAAGTACTTAATTCTCAGCAGAACGGCTATTACCTTTAGATCTTGAATTTCTAGTTGAATATGATCCTTTACTTAATTCTCATATAGCAAAATATGGTAATGAAGGACAAAGAAAAACTTCTTGTCAATCTTCAAAAATATATGAAGATATGAGGATCATGGAAAATGAAATATTAAAAACCACTGTAGAAGAAATCATGGAAGGCAAATGCATTATCTAATTGATAATTTGACCCCAGACAATTCCCACCCTGAGCAGTTGACTGTAGTTCGTCGCTGTGTCTGAATATCGGATAACATGTTTTAACCTATCAACCTATCACCCCTTTCTGGTCCACAAACGTCCACGTTTAGTACAAAATATGACATGACCTGCTGGATCCTCTTTTCCTCACATTCATAAAAACACCTCTCAAATTCAACTGCAACCACCTTGCACCATGTTTTCTGCTTACTCAACATATATAAACATAATATTCCCTTCAGAGCGATATTTTGGGGAAATTTCAGAATTGACCGCTAAAATACTCACACCCTTAATTGGAAGTAACCCGTCTTACACCAAAAACTGCGAGTTTTTGCAAACTATAAAGCAGGTTGAGCACTCACATGGTAGCATTACGGTCTGTTACGAAGTTGAAAACCTCATCTACTAAAACACCTGTTAGCCTCATTGTTAAAACAATCTTAAACTTCTTCAAGGAGAGCTCGGTTTAACAACGGACTGATGTCAGTGTTAACTCTTTCATTGATCTAGTAACTTTTTCTACGCTACTTTGAAGAACTACCAAGGTTGTTTCGCAGTATCTCTGAACGACTCTGGTAAATGGATCAACTGCGAGCGACCTGATATGCAGTCTGGAACATCAATCACGATATGCGGATCTCATTTGGATTGGTTCAGGATGGAAAGTAACCTATCTCGTTGCACAGAGTTGAAAGCCGATGACCCGGAAATGCACATATCACTTGTGCCTTCCCATGATTGAGTTGTTGAGGCACGTCATGAGTCAACATAGCTTCCAGATCAATGATGCCCGCCTGTGCGTAAAGCAAGACTGTATGTAATCTGGGAGGAATTGCCATGCTCTAGTGATTGATGTGAGCAACATCGTCTCAAAACACTTAGCAAGGCAAGAGATGACTGTAACTGGGCCAAAATCTTTGCAGCCAACTGCTCGAATCTTCTTTAGCATCGAAGTTATGCATGACATCAATCATGCGGCAGTTGAGTTAACTGAAGACAGGTGCCGAATATGTCTGTAAGCACCGGTTCAAGTTCCGTGGCACAGAGCTGTATCGTTCCAGAGAAGATAGTCAGTCTCCATAGAGTGTCGTCTCAATGCTTGATCAAGTCCTGTATCTCCAAAAAAAGTGACGAAGCAATACCTCTGTAGTCGTACTGGAAGAACCATTTATTCAGGGCGTTAACATTGACTGGCACCAAAAGGAGTCGGTTTCTGTATCTGGAGAGAGCATTCAACTCCTGCCACTCTTGGTGAGGTTGCACTCAACCTAAGCCACAGAATTAGAGTGCCTTTAGCCGACGATCTCGGACCTAAAAGCCAAGATGAGGTCTTTGTATGCCAATCGGTCAGATATTCTTAAATTCTACTCATTCTCTCATTCGGCTCAAGTATTTCAGTACCTCGTATGGTCGATGGCACGAAGTTCAGATATGCCGTAACCAAGGCTACATGGCGACTGACGTCACGACCGGTCAACACTGTCCAGTCTGTCATGGCAAGTTCACAGTGGAAGCGTGCAACCATCTCTTCTGAAAAAACACTGCAGGGCATCGATGGCCGATGTCCACTCAAGATTTTTTAATTCCTTTTTGGAAAGACCTGAGGCACGGCCTGAACAATGCAGTGATCGGTGGAAACAAGGGCCACGTCGTAAATGTTTGTACAATTTGTGAAAATATGTTCCATTATCGCCTTCAACAACGACGAAAATCGACAACGTCTAAGAGACCTAGCTCGTGAAGGAAAGCTGTTTCCCTGCTGTTCAAGTTTCCAGCGACCACCGTTAGTTAGTCATCGCCCCAAGGCCCAACCCGTGCTGAGGAGATGTCCACAATGGAGGTGAACTGGTTGCAGACCAACACGTACTTGAAGAGGCACGTCAAGACTGGACTGGACGACAACAATTCGTCAGGCGTTCGATGCCGTGGACGAATAGAGAAATTTCGCAGTTGAGGATGAACACCAGTGGTTGCATGTCCAAGTGGTGACCCACCCTGCTCGTGACTAAACGACTCTTCACCCTATCGACGCCGAACGCAATGTAGTCAGGAAGGACCCTTCGGCACTCCATCTTCCCGTTCACCATCCAGCCATGATTCCTGAAAAATGACAACAGCTCTATGGTCGAACCCGTTTCCTCGCAACGGCCATCCAACCTCGTCAAGTTTCGGAGGTAATGAGCGATTGTTAATCGATATAGCTATAGAGAAAGTAATGATGAGTTTCTAAAGCTGCCTGTCATCCTTCTCGTGTCCGCCTTTTTCCGATATCTTTCTCCGGTGATTTTCAACTTCCGCAGATGACGAAGACTCTGTTGCGTTGTCGAGTTTACTCACAGAGGTCACAGATATACTTAATCTCCGTCAATTATTATATAGGACGGGTCGAGGCAATTCTTCTACACCTTTTCAAATATCGATCAAAAATTACAGTTCTACAACTTCACTCCGGCAGGGAATAGTGGCAGTGCACCATTCAATAATCTAACCCAGGTAAAACGACGTGTAACGCAGCGAGGCACGGCACACAACCTGGGTACGTACACTCCCTTAATTGGGTAGGTGTTATGGCAAGCAGTACTGTTGCAGCATCAAAGAATTTTAAATTTTACTCTTCGTTCAACAGAACGTTGGTTAGTAGTCCTTGAGTGCCTTATAGCTGAAAGCGCATGAGAATTTATATCGGTAGTTAAAACATCATCAGACACAAGATGGTCTACCACAGCTGATACCACAGAGTCCCTGTCTAAAGGCTACAGCTATTTTCAAACATCTATGAGGATAATATGCGAAGATGGAAATCAGAAAGATGACATACGTTATGAAGCAAACATCGTAGTCAAGCAGATGTCAAACTTAGAAACAGTTATCTTGGCAGTCATACTAAATAGGTTTAATCAAGTCAGCAAATCACTTCAAGTTCAAATGGTTGAGCTTCAATCAGCAATGGAAATTCTTAAATCTCTCCTGAAATTTTTGAGTTAAAGCGGGATCATTTCGAAGAGACTCAAAATAAGGCAAGAGAAACGTCTACGACATGATATGACGAGCAAAACTGAGAACCTTCGTAAACAAAGTTACGAGTCGTCAGCGACTGACTACAAGCCTCTGTACACTTAGCTTTGCAGGAGTACAGGGTTAACTCTTTGCACTATGGAAATCACGGTTCATACAATGTTTGCCCCTTGAGTGTATTCGAACCATGACGGTGGAGGGTTCAAACCTAACCTCTTAAGGTTAGCACCACAGCGATGAGCTGTTGCAGCTTTTGTAGCATCAATAATAATCAACGCTACAACTAATTTCATTACACCTTCCCTGGTAAACCAATTTTCATTAATGTACTGGAAATAAAACGATCGTAATACGATTCCTTACCTTTGCTCCATGACTGCAGTCACACCTCATCTCTTCAAAAACTGCCTTTTCACCTTTCAGACGTTCGATCTCTAGGAAATCTACAAGTGCGCCGGGAGAGCGGAATGTGGACAATTACTGCCGGACGTCTATCTCTAGAACTTTCACGGGGGGACTTTCACATTGACGGATCGATGAACGGGCGATTGAGTGATGAACGCTTAGATAACGAAAATCAGACGAAGCGAGTGTAGCACTGCGCTAGGTTATAAAAATTTACTTGTATGCATTTAGGCGACTTGCTGTGTCTAGTTTCCTTGAGAGTGGCCGCCAATGCATGAAACTTGCAATGTAGCCCTGCAGTGTGATAATTATCAATAAAATCTCATTTGAATTGCGTCTGTACTGGAAAACGATAAGAAGCCATGTGCATAGGTCAATCTCATGTGTAAAGTATGAGATGTCGATACTCTAGTACTAGCGCAGTTGTGTAACTAGATGCTCAAGTTTAATGACCTGGTTGAGTAGATTAACCTTAAACGAGCGTTGAATAATGAATATAACCGTCACACATTTTGCTAAATAAATCACACACCTCTCCCACATTAAGTGCCTCTGACTCTATATGCATGTTTCTCAAATTTTACTTATTTGTTCTTGTCAGTAGATGGCAAAAAATTATCCTCTCCCCCACACAATTTGGTATAAACTCATCAGTGTTTTTTTAACACTTTCTATGCGTATTAGTTTCTCATACTTTGAATAACGCTATTCACATCTCAGTATGCCGTTCATACTCGTCAGCAGCAACATGGAATTGTTTGAATTGGATGAAGCGCATGAT